CAGGTGGATCACAAGATCAGGAGATTGAGACCAGCCTCGCTAAGATGGTGAAACCCCACCTCTACTAAAAATTGGCCAGGTGCGGTGGCACAGCTGGTAGTCCCAGCTGCTCCAGAGGCTGAGGCAGGAGAATTGCTTGAACCCCGGAGGCAGAGGTTGCGGTGAGCTGAGGTCACGCCACTGCACTCCAGTCTGGGTAAAGAGGGAGATTCCGTCTCAAAAGAAAAGAAAAAAGAGAGAAAGAGAGAGAGAAAGAAAGAAAGAAAGAAAGAGGAAGGAAGGAAGGAAAGAGAAAGAAAAAGGAAGGAAGGAAGGAAGGAAGGAAGGAAGGAAGGAAGGAAGGAGAGAAGAAAAAGGAAAGAAAGAGAGAAAGAAAAAAAGAAAGAGGAAGGAAGGAAGGAAAAAAAGAAAATGGTGCTGCTGGGAAGTGCAGAACCCCTTGGCAGGCACGCTCCACTCAAAGCCCTGCACTGAGACACCCGGCCACCACCTCACAGGCCCCCTGGGACACCCCAGCCCGTCCTGACTGAGCTCCCGTCTAGAAACACTCAGGGCTGTCCAAAGCGATTGCTGTCTCTGTTCCAGCCAACACCTGACCTCCCTTTCTTAGAACACTTACTAGACAGGGCTTCCCCTGTCCCTTTGAGACACCTGTGCAGCACCCACCACCCAGGGTCTTCCCCGAGGGCCCCGCAGCCACCCCCTGGAAATGGAATCCTCGGGAGGGACGGGGCCCAGTGTCCAAGTCTCCGAGGGAGGGAAGAATCCCAAGCTGGGTAACAACCGGCAGCTCCCACACAAGGCTGGCCTCGTGGCAAGGACACTGGCCGCCCTGTCGTCTTTCACTGGAGCCCCCTCGCCCCCTCCGGACTCCCTCATTCCAGCTTCACAAAGCCAGGCCGCCTCTGCTGGGGCAGGAACAGAGCTCGGCTCTCCCCCGCACAAGCAGGCGTTTCTGAAGAAAATCTCTTTTCTCAGCTTGAACATAAGGCTGGCTTTTATGTATCTTCAATGCCGGTGTCCTTGTAAAAAGAGGAGGACAGGCACAGTGGCCCACGGGGACAAGGCTACAGGATGACAGAGACGCACACTGGAGAGGTGCAGCCGGCAGCCCCCGGCGCTGGGGACAGGCCTGGACGGCAGCTCCCTCACGGGTCAGCGAGCCCACCCTGCCGACGCCACCGCCATCTCAGCCTCCAGGCCTCCAGAACCGGAGGCCACACGTTTCTGTGGCTTTGACCCCACAGTCTGTGGTGCTTGGTCACGGCAGCCCCAGGAGTCACAGGAAGCCCCGGCCCCATGGAATAGCGGGAGTGGCCCTGCCCTGTGCCTTGCTGAGCCGCTGTGTCAACAGTGAGCTCTTCCCAGCCACTGGCACAGAAGAAAACAGAACTACGTTAACACACAAGTGACTGTGTGGGATGATGTATTTATGTATCAAAGCCACCCACACAGTAGGCATTTAGAAAACACATTAACAGGCAAGGGACACTTCTCACTACTGGCCGGCCACCCAGCTACTCACATCCACGCAGTCATAGCTGCAACTTCTCTACTGGGGAACAGTCACTTGACCTGTTCACACAAACATGCTATGGGGCATGTTGCCCATGGGATGTTCAAAATGCCAGCTGTGCTGGGCAACCGCTTCCTTCACCCCAGCCCTTGGTGGCTACAGATAATAAAGTGGGTGCCTCCCCAATGCCAGAGTCATCATGAATAGCTGACTACCGCTAAGGGTTATGCACCAGGGCTGAGGACGCTGCCTACAGGCTTGCTCCATCCCAGCAAATGGCCCTCTCGGAAGGGGCAGCACTGCAAGGCCCAGGCCCTGCACCTTGCCAGCAGAGCGCTCACCTAGGACTTCATCAGTTGCTATTTTCATATCACTGTTTGCTTGCTCTTGAAGTTGGTGTTGTTTTAGTTACTGGTGAGGGCAAAATGCTTTTGAACTGTGCTTACTGGTCACCTGCACCGCTCATGCGCACAGCAACACCAGAGAACGCCACAAGCTCTGGCAGGGACAGGCTTCTGGCTTGTGGATCAATGAACTGCAGCCAAAAGGGCAGGTGGCTAGTTCCCTCCCAAGAGTAATCTGACCAGTTGTTCTGGAAGCTCAACCTAAGTAAAGCCAGAAAGGAACAACCTGGAATACCATGCTTATGGCTGGACAAACGGTTTTAAATCTTTGGTGTCTGGTGCAGAGTCAACCCTATGCTGTGTGACAGGAGGAACGAGGCAGCCCCACCTCCAGGCAGGGCAGCGGGTCTAGACCAACACCTGGTCCCACCCCCAGGTTCGGACTCAGTTGGTCCAGGGGGCCCAAGCAGGACTGTTTTTCAGGCTCCTGGGCACTGCTGCTGCATTTGCCCTCATCTGTGTGCTCTGGAAGACATCCCTATACTAGGTTGTATGGCGGCCCTGAAAACATATGTGCGTATCTTGTGGGTGTGACCTTCTTCAGGAAAAGGGTCTGCGCAGATGTAATGAATGCCAACATAAGATTATCCTGGATTATCCAGCTGGGCCCTATGTCCAATGACTGGTGTCCTTTATAAGAGACAGAAGGGAAGACACAGACGAAGAGAAAGAGACTGTGTGATGACAGAGGCAGAGACTGGGGTAATAGCTCTAGAAGCTCAGGGACCCCAAGGACTGCAGGCTACCAGCAGAGGCTAAGACACAGGCTTGAAACTGATTCTCTCAGCACCTGCAGAGACCAGCCTTGCCCAACGGACGCGGTGGCTTACGCCTATAATCACATGACTTTGTGAGACCAAGATGGGAGGATCGCTTGAGGTCAGGAGTTCAAGACCAGCCTGTCCAACATACCAAAACCCTGTCTCTACTAAAAGTACAAAAATTAGCTGGGCATGGTGGCATGCACCTGTAATCCCAGCTACTGGGGGGGCGGGGGCGCTTAGGCAAAAGAATCGCTTGAACCCTGCAGGCAGAAGTTACAGTGAGCTGAGATGGCACAGATGTGCTCCAGCTTGGGTGACAGACCAAGATTGTGTCTTCAAAAAAGAAAGGAAAAAGCCAGCCTTGTCTAGCTTCCAGCACTGTGAAGGAGTTTCTGTTGTTTCAAGCCCAAGTCTGCATTGCTTCATTCCAGCAGCACAGTCAGCTCATACACCCTCCCTCCAAAGAAGGTAAATGCTCTTGTAGAAAAAATTGCATGATTAGAATTTAAATGTAGCAACTGTGAGCAGAGAAGCTATCCGTACCTTTAACATTTTCCCAACCACAATCTGATGGATACCTGGCTTAAAGAAGGGGAAAAGTCGCTCCCCTTGCCCTTGCAGATGCTGAGAAAGCCCTCAGGCCAGGCTAATTTTTAGAAGGCCTGATATTCCAATTCTAGCCAGCCTCACACTCAAATAGCAGGAAGCCCTGTGAGGAAGCCTGGGGTGGATTCACAACATCCCGTTCGCAACCAGGGCTGCTTGGGGGACAGCAGGAAGGCAGGCCCGGGTGCTGGGGAGTCAACTTCCAACTTCGTTTCCTTTGCTAGAATTGCAGGGTTCATGCCCAGGGCTCTGACATCCTAGGAAATTTCCAGAATCTTGTAAAACAAGTAGACTCGTCTGTTCTTCATAACTGGGCAACAATACTCTTAGTGAAGATAAAAGCATGCTTCAGTGTTAGAAAAAGTGTTCCTGTGTGAAGCACCTTCCAACAGACCACAGGTGGTCACCATGACTCTAAACTCGAAGCAGCAAAAGGAAACACAAATGGATAAATGTGACCACAGAAAATCAACTTCAAGGCCAAGAAACACTAGTAGTTTAGTGGGCTGTGACGCCCACACCTATGATCCCAGCTACTCACGAGGCTGAGGCCAGATCACAGCAGTGAGCTGTGATTGTGCCACTGTCCTCCCACCTGGGTGACAGAGAGAGCCCTTGTCTCAAAACAAGAAACAAAGAAACACTAGTAACAAAGTCAAAGCTAATCCTGGTCAAGGACAGAGAGTTTCGAAAAGCAACAAAAGTAAAATGGATAAAAGATATGAGCAGCCCAGTGGGGCATAGTGGCTCACGCCTGTAATCCCAGCACTTTGGGAGGCCAAGGAGGGCAGATCACCTGAAGTCAGGAGTGAGACCAGCCTGGCCAACATGGTGAAACACCCATCTCTACTAAAAATACAAATATTGGCCCAGCATGGTGGCTCATGCCTGTAATCTCAGCACTTTGGGAGGCCAAGGCAGGTGGATCACCTGAGGTCAGGAGTTCAAGACCAGCCTGGCCAACATGGTAAACTCCCGTCTCTACTAAAAATACAAAAATTAGATTGGCGTGGTGGCAGGTGCCTGTAATGCCAGCTACTCAGGAGGCTGTGGCAGCAGAATCACTTGAACCCAGGAGGTGGAGGTTGCAGTGAGCCAAGATCCCACCACTGTACTCCAGTCTGGGTGAGAAAATCAAAACTCTGTTTCAAAAAAAAAAAAAACAGTATGAGCAGCCCATTCAGAAGCAGAACTAAAAAAGGTCCTTACTCCTCAGGAACAATGCTTAAGCTCACTCTTAACAGAGAACTGCATGCCTAGTGAATGACAAAACCCCAAATGGGCTTTCCCACCCCCTCCTTGGCAAGGCTAGGGAAATAGGGATGGGGAGAGTTGGGAAACCAAGCTCCAACGAGGGAGAGAGAAAGAAGGGAAGACACAGACAAAGAGACTGTGTGATGACAGAGGCAGAGACTGGGGTGATGGCTCTATAAGCCCAGGGACCCCAAGGACTGCAGGCTACCAGCAGTGGCTAAGACACAGGCTTGAAACCGACTCTCTCCATGCCTGCAGAGACCAGCCTTGCCAAATGTGGCGACTCATACCTGTAATCACAGGACTTTGTGAGACCGAGGTGATCTGCCGCCTTGACCTCCCAAAGTATTGAAATTACAGGCGCAAGCCACTGTGTTCATGTTCAGGTACCGCCTAACCCATCACCCATGCTCAGTGGTGTCACTTCTCAGAATCTACCCCAAAGATATGCTCAACTAATGCAAAAGGATTTTTACTGTGCCATTATTTGTGGTAACAAAAAGACTGGAAACAACCCAAATGTCCATCAAGAGTGACTAGTTAAATACACATCGGTCTCACTGCAAAATGGAATAGCATGCGGTCCAAAAGGACAGCAGCCGTGTACACTGTAAGAGGGCAGCACTCCCAGAGCACAGCAGTGCGTGGGTCAGTGGCCAGTAGGAGGAAGAGTTGCCACCCAGCTCTGCCCAGGGAAGCGGGGAAGCAGTTCTCCCTGAGAGCACCTGGCCGCCATTCTTGACTTCCCCAGTGGGAAGTGGATGAAGAGGGAGGGATTAGCCCAAGGCAAGTGGTTGAAGCAGACAGAAGGCAACAAGAAGAGCAGTGCATCAGGCCTGCTCGGGACCGCAGCTGCCCTACAAGAGGGGACCAGTAGACCCAGAACTGAAGCCTAAAGCACCGCAGCAGGCTCCTGGGGCTCCAGGCAGCACCCCACTTGTGGTCACCGAGCCCTTCATCCTGGGCTAGGCAGGCAGAAGAAATCACAGACAGCATGTTCCCGGGCATGTCCTCGGCAGGCAGTGTCCTTGCGCTGGCCGGCTCTACTCAATGCACTCCATGACGTGTATCTGCAGGGTGTCCATATCAGGGGCCTGATACTGGCACTTGGGACAGCAGAAGTCAGGTGGCTCCTCAGGGGGGCTCCTCCTCTGGTTGGGCTGAGCCAGGAGAAAGGAGTGGTGGGCTGGGAAAAGAGAAGAGTCTGAAGCGAGGGGAGGATGGAGAGGACGGAGACTTGGAGGGACTGTGAGACAGGCCTGCAGGCCTCCCTTAGCCTCAGGTCAGGGGCTGGGCTACCGATGGGGTGACCAGTGCGAGCTCCCGCTGTCAAGACTCCGGAGAGCGACAGGAAGGTCCAGCTGTGACCTCCTGCAGCACAGCGCCCGCCCTCCCCACCCACCTCCCCCTCCTCCCGCAGGCCCAATGCTTGCTCACTCACCGGGTGCAGGGGGCAAGGGGGTCGGAGAGACCTCTACATGCCGCTTCCTCATGTCCTCAATCCTTTGAAAACAGAAACCGTCCAGTCAAGGCACATGCTTCTGTAAAGCTCCATGGCTGGACTAGTGTCAGAGAAGCTCTTGGAAGCTCAGGTGAGAGGAGAGGGGCCGCAGTGAGTCCTAACCCAGAACGCCAGAAGCCATCCATCTCCTGCAGTCACCACTGGCAACCCCCTAGTGTTGCACCCACTGCTCACAGGGGCAGACTCTCAGAGGCCCACCTGGCCGACTCCTGACAGCTGGCCTTCAATTTGCTGTACTCCCTCTGCAGCTGCTCCAGCTGCTCCTGCAACAGCTCCTTCTTCTCAGCCAGCTTCTCCCGGGCCTGCCTTTCAGCCTGGAAGTCCGCCTTGTAGATGTCCGCCTGGCAAATCCAAGAGAGAGCGATGTGCCCACCACAAGCCAGCCACCCACTGAGCACTGTGACAGGCACAAAGGAAACAGATATGTCTGCAAGTGACACCAAGTGCACTGAGAGGTCAAGGAGCAGCACAAGTGGCTGAGAAGCTTACGAAAGGCCACCACAAAATGACGCCAAACAGGCCAGGCATGGTGGCTCATGCTTGTCATCTCAGCACTTTGGGAGGCTGGAGTGGGTGGATCACAAAGTCAAGAGATTGAGAGCGGCCAGGCCAAAATCGTGAAACCCGGTCTCTACTAAAAATACAAAAATTAGCCGGGGCTGGTGGAGAGCGCCTGTAATCCCAGCTACTTGGGAGGCTGAGGCAAGAGGATGGTTTCAACCCAGGAGGCGGTGATTGCAGTGAGCTGAGATCCTGCCATTGCACTCTGGCCTAAGCAACAAGAGCAAAAATCCATCTCAAAAAGAAAACACACACACACAGAAAGACACCAAAGAGACACAGCAGGTCCCAGCAGGAGGGCGGGCCAGAGAGGAGAGCCCTGACCTGCGCCTTCAGCACCGGAACCGTCTCCATCACCATCTTGTGCTGCTCGGCCTCCTCCTTCAGCTTATCGATCAGCTCCTGTTTGGCCACCAGGGCCTCCTCAGCCTGCTGGAGCTGCTGCTTGAGATCTTCCAGCTGCATTCCCTAAAGACAGGCAAGGGGAGCTGACGGACCCTCGTTGGCCGAGGGCGGAACTGGCAGGGAACTGAGAAGGACAAAACAGTGGCCCTGGCTGACCAAGCTGGGCGATGCCAGCCGCTTGATTTTAGGGCCCGCTGCAGGATCTCAGCATGAATAGGGAGAAGACCGCATCCTCTTGCGGCCCAAAAGGACAGAGCAGATGCTGAGGTTTTCTTCAGGACCAAAGAGGCCACACTGAGGTCACCTGGCACAACCTCCCAGCTGGGCGGACATTCCCTTCCCAGAATCCCCAGCTGCACAGCCCTCCTCCCACCCTTCACAGGACATGGGCCATGCCCATGCACAGCGAGCTGGCCCGTGCCTGCTGCATGCACGGCTGAACTGAGAGCCCTCGCCCTTTCCACTCTGCACCTGGTCAGAGGTGCGCTCATCCCACACCGGCATCGCCAGCCCCCCCACACACACAGACACACACTGCCAACCCTTCCCTCCAGAGATTATGTGGCCACTTGTGTCACTAACTCTTCCTCATGTGACCTTGCTTCAAGCTTTGACAGTGTCCTGCTAAAATGGGATCACTAGCAAACTGCACCCAGCTTAGGTCCGAGGAGGACAAACTAGGAAAAGGCTCCTAGCCAACATTGGGGTGGAAACGTTGCCGGGCTTACCTTGGCTTGGGGGAAACTGAGCCAGGAGCGCAGATGCTGATGGCTGGCAAGAGGGAATATCCACAGAGATAAGATATCCCCAGCCCCATAGAGGACGCATCCTGAGGCTCTGCCCCAGCCCCCCATTATGGTGGCCTGCCAACATTCCTGAGAGCAACATCCCAGGGTCGCCATCTCCCTACAGCTTCCCTGAGCTGTCACAGCTGCAGCCTGACAAAGGTCTAGGGCAAGTCAAGGATCCCTACCAAATGCCCACTCTCAAGGTTCAGGGATGTGGGGAGAGGAAGAGGCAGGGCTAGCCCTAGAGCCCCGGCGGCCGCACTCACTCGCTTCCGCTCGCTGCTCACCACACTGCTCTTGATGTGGTTGTCGTATTCTTGGAAGAGCTGGTGATAGGCCACCTGCAACTGAGCCAGCTTCCGCCTGAGGAAAAGTGGCATGCGCTGGAGAAACCACCTCAGGCCAGTCCTGCCACAGTTCCGCCTGCTTCCACCTCTACCCGCCTGTCCCTCCTGTGCATCCCAGGCCTGGAGTGGGGTCTTCCAAGGCTGGGTGAGGATTCCTGAAGCTGTTGGCTCTGAGGCAGGCTTTGCTGGTCCAGTCACCAGGAAGTTAATATCATTTTCCTTAAAGCTAACATGTTTAAATATTTATAATAAAATCATGGCCAGATATAATTCCCATACTTTGAGAAGCCAAGGCAGGAGGTTGGCTTGAGCTCAAGAGTTTGAGACCAGCCTGGGCAACATGGCAAAACTCCAAGTCTACCAAAAATACAAAAGTTAGCCGGGTGTGGCAGCCTGCGCCTGCAGTCCCAGCTACTTCGGAGGCTGAGGTGGGAAGATTGCTTGAGCCCACGAGGCACTAGGTAAGCCCACAGTAAGCCGAGATAATGCTCCTGCACTCCAGCCTGGACGATAGAGCAAGACCCTCTCTTGAAAATAATAGTAGTAATAATATAACAGTAACAACAATACAACTGAACTACCCTGCACTCTTCAAAACTGTGAACTTCACAAACAACTCAGAAAGGCCGGGTAACTGTTCTAATTAAAGGGGACTGAAAAGGCACGCCAAGGACAGGAACCTGAGGCCACAGGTTGGATGCTGGTAGGAAGGGGACATTGGGGGTATTTTTGTTGTCTTTCTGTTGCCAAGGCTGGTCTTGAACTCCTAGGCTTAAGTGATCCACCTACCTTGGCCTTCCAAAGTGCTGGGATTACAAGCATGAGCCACAGCACCCAGCCTGGAGGGGGTTTGAAAGGACAAGTCCCCTAATGACCTGGTGGCTAAGAAAAGAAGTACAAAAAAGGCCATGTGTGGACACACAGTGAAACGTGGTCTGGATAGCAGATGGCATGATTGTATCAAAGACAAACTGGTTGTCATCATGGTCGCCTCTACTGTTAGCAAAGCTAAGTGACAGAATGGGCCCACAGCCACAGACAGAATATGAAGGACTCCCCAGAAGGCAGAAAGGACCATAGACCCACCGCTTCTTGGCCTTTTGGCTGAGAACAAGTGTAGAACCAAAGACCCTGTGATGCGGCCCTGCCCCCATGACTCACTTCTCCTCCGAGGCGGCCTGTCGCTCCATGCGAAGTGCAGCCTCCACACTCTGGCCCTGCATGCGCAGCTGGTCCACCTGCACACTGTGCTGCTGCTGCAGCGCCTCACGCTCGCTCTCTAGCTGCCGCACCTGCTCACTGGCCGCCCGAGCCCTGGCACAGGGAAAGAGCAGACTCAGGGAGGATGAACGGGGGAGAGGAGCGGCTACACGCAGGGCATCGGCAGAAGGCGTCTGCTCCGAACACCCTGTGACTATAAGCCAATGCAAGGCAGCAGGGTGAAGACACTGTCACCAGACACGAGGACACCCGCAGTGCCCGGGCCAGGTGACAGGAGCCCTCAGAACTGCCCACGGAACTCCAATGGGGGGCTGCTGGAGGCCCCAGCAAAAGCAGTCTCTGTGGAGAGGGTCAGGAGAGACCGTTCTACAAGTGAGACACAGCCCACCGGGGTGTACAAGCACTGAACTCAATGCAGACCAGGCCTCGGCCCCATCCCTGCTGCTGCCTGGAGCTCTGCTGGCATCCCAGATGCGCTGCGTGGAGGCTCAGTTCCCTTAACCTGCAGTTTCCACGCTCTGGCCTCATCCCACGGCTCCGAGCCCTTCCACGGCCTCCACTGCAGGACGATGGTGGGTGCTTCTGTGCAGACCCTGGGTGGCCTCTGGCCACAGTAGACATAGCCCTCTTCCAGTCACCCCAACTCCGCCTGACAGGTCTGGCTGCCTGGCTCTCTCCGCTCTGTGCCTGCCCGCACTCTGCCGCCACACCCTGCCTGGGCTCCCTCTGCCCATCAGAGCCCAAGTCAAGCTCGCCTCCCCTTTGCCTTGCTGGTTGCCCCAAGTGTGCTCTGACCACCTACTGTGCCGGGATGGCTGGGGCCCTGTGGCAGCTGATTCATCTGTCTGGACGGTAGAAGCAGGGCCGAGTAAGAACCACGAAAACCTCCCTGACCTTTGACCCAATGGTCCCACTTTGAAGAACCAAGACCCCTTTTCAAAAGAGAGTAACCAGCAGGCCCAAGGTCCCTGCACCTGGGCTGTTTGTAGACACATCATTGCCATGAGCACCCACTCTGCTGCTGGGAGTCAGAGATTTAGGTACCTGCCTGGCAGACAATGCTGACAGGACCCACCCCCAGTAAACACCCAGGATGCTGAGTCTCTAGTGGGCAACCCTGGGCAGGAACTTGGCCCATGTGGGAGGCACTTCTTACTGTGCGCCTCACAAGTTGGGAGGAGCCTGGGACACAGTTTCTCCAAATCCACCTGCAGCTCCTGCCCTGTGCCCTTTTCCCTGTCATCAACCTCGGCCACGAGGGTGACTGTGCACCGGTCCTAGAAATCCTTCCAGAGAACTAGAAACTGTGGGTGTGGGCTTGGAGCCCTCAAAATGCCTCTTAAGGAAATAATCCAAACTCCATCAAAGGGTCTGAGAGTATGGAGAGCTGGCTGGGACCCAGGTCCTGGATGCCTGGCCCAGACCTCTCCCAACGCCTGCCCTGAAGTGTTTATGCAGCCTGCCCTGTTTATCCTCATCAAGGAGCACCCTGGAGGCCCCTAAACCTACCTCGTGCTTTCTGAAACTCTGGAAGGGGCCTCCAGAGATGGCTCCCCACCACTCACCGACCCTCCAGAGCCTGGCATTCCTTAGTGGCAGCCTCCAAGCGACTCTGGCTTTCCTGGAGCTCCCCGAGCAACGACGTCACCTGGGCTTTCACAGAGGCCTTGTCCTCAGCCATCTGCTGCAGGAGAAAAAGCCACTTCCTGTCAGCACTGCGTTCTCCCCAGCTGCCCACTCCTGCCACCTGCAAGCCCCAGGGCAGCCCACAAGCAGCTGAGGCCTGCCTCATGAGCCCAAGGGCCCCCAACCCTCCCCAGCTTCCCACCTTCACCCTGTGCCGCAGGGTGACACACAGATGGGGCAGAAAGAGATCCCCAAAGAGACGAAGAAGTACAAAGGTGCCTTGAGATTGTCCACAGGCCGTGATCACTAAACCGAGTGGCTTTGTAGCTGTGGCCCCAGGAGAGTCTCTCAGCTCTCTGAGACTTGGGAAAAAAGGAAGCCAGGCACAAACACAGCAAAGGACACACAGGCCCTAGACACACCCGGGGCCACCAGGATGGAGAGTCTGTGCAAAGCAACAGTGGATAGTGAACTGTGTTCAACACTGGGAAGTGCAGAACCCCTCGGCAGGCACGCTCCACTCAAACCCCTGCACTGAGACACCCGGCCACCACCTCACAGGCCCCCTGGGACACCCCAGCCCGTCCTGACTGAGCTCCCGTCTAGAAACACTCAGGGCTGTCCAAAGCGATTGCTGTCTCTGTTCCAGCCAACACCTGACCTCCCTTTCTTAGAACACTTACTAGACAGGGCTTCCCCTGTCCCTTTGAGACACCTGTGTAGCACCCACCACCCAGGGTCTTCCCCGAGGGCCCCGCAGCCACCCCCTGGAAATGGAATCCTCGGGAGGGACGGGGCCCAGTGTCCAAGTCTCCGAGGGAGGGAAGAATCCCAAGCTGGGTAACAACCGGCAGCTCCCACACAAGGCCGGCCTCGTGGCAAGGACACTGGCCGCCCTGTCGTCTTTCACTGGAGCCCCCTCGCCCCCTCCGGACTCCCTCATTCCAGCTTCACAAAGCCAGGCCGCCTCTGCTGGGGCAGGAACAGAGCTCGGCTCTCCCCCGCACAAGCAGGCGTTTCTGAAGAAAATCTCTTTTCTCAGCTTGAACATAAGGCCGGCTTTTATGTATCTTCAATGCCGGTGTCCTTGTAAAAAGAGGAGGACAGGCACAGTGGCCCACGGGGACAAGGCTACAGGATGACGGAGACGCACACTGGAGAGGTGCAGCCGGCAGCCCCCGGCTCTGGGGACAGGCCTGGACGGCAGCTCCCTCACGGGTCAGCGAGCCCACCCTGCCGACGCCACCGCCATCTCAGCCTCCAGGCCTCCAGAACCGGAGGCCACACGTTTCTGTGGCTTTGACCCCACAGTCTGTGATGCTTGGTCACGGCAGCTGTAGAAAACTCAGCCACTTCCCACACGGTAGATCAGCACCTTAAGCTCGGTGCTCCAAGCTCTGAGTGGAACAGCGTGCACAGCCCACGATCCACGCCTTTCCCGAAGGGAGTGGAGCCTGCCTGTGGCAAGTGCCAGGTGCCAGCCAGCAAGTTTCATCTCCACCACTTCTCCCCACCTTGCCCCTCAAAGGCAGCACAGCCCCTTCCTGACTCCCGTTTCCAGGATCCTGCCTTCAGCCAAGCCCATATACAAAGGCGCTGAAGCCGGTTGGTCGATGCTAACAACATGATTTATGGGGGGAGCCTTGGGCCACACGGCTGGCCACCCGGGTGCCCGTGCCTACATGACCCACCCCCCATGGAAACCCCAACTGCCATAGCAGGGGTGAGCTTCCCTGGTTGTGACTCCGTGCGTACTGTCCCACACCGTTGATGAAAGAAATAGCTGCTGTCTGCCCAGCTGCCTGGGCGAAGAGCCACAAAGGCGCACATCTCGTCTCTCCTGAACTCTGCCCCGTGCACCCTGAGCCTTTGCTGACCATAACCTGTGTCCTTTCCTTATAATAAACCACGACTAGGAATGTGACAGCTTTTCTGAGTTCTGAGCCCTCCCAGCACAGCATCGAGCCCCAGGTGCTCTTGGGGACCCGACCACAGGTTCCTGGTAGAACACGGGCATCCCCTTGGGTTTTCTGAGCCTGCTCCTGCCCCGGCTACCTGCTGGCATCTCTTCAGGTGCTCCACCTCCCGCAGGGCCTGCTCCTTCTGCCTCTTCAGGTCGAGCTTCTCCAGGCTGAGTCTCTCCACTAGTTTCCTGGCCTCCTGGAATTTGCACATGAGGAACTCCTTTTCTTCCCTCTGGCTGGCTTGGAAATGCAGAAGCTCCTCACAGCGCTCCCGCAGCATCTGATTGCTCTGCCGGATGGCATCTGGTGGCAGAGGGGACAGCAAAGGGGAGCTGGGTAGCCCGGCCCATCGGGCTCCGCCTGGGCCCACAGGGGCCTAGGGTTCAGGAAGTCAGAGGCCAGAAGCAGGGCGCAGTGTCTCATGCCTGTAATCCCAGCATTTTGGGAGGCTAACTGACCATCCTGGTGCCCCCCCGCCTCATAATACCATGCAGCCTCTCTCAGGGGTGGTCGGCGTCTCAACCCTCCCTTCTGTTTCTTTAAACACTTCCAAAATCAGTTATACTAATGCCCCTCTGTTTTTCCAAGAAAATACCAAACACATCAGCTTCACTTGGTCAGGAGTTCCAGACCAGCCTGGCCAACATGATGAAACCCCATCTCTACTAAAAATATAAAAAGTAGCCACAGTGTATGCGCCTGTAGTCCCGGCTACTCAGGAGGCTGAGTCAGGAGAATCACTTGAACCTGGAGGTAGAGCCAAGACTGTGCCACTGCACTGCAGCCTAGGGAACAAGAGCGAAACTCTGTCTCAAAAAAAAAGTATGTGTCAAATGCCACTTTTTTTAATTTTTATTTTGTAGAGACAGGGTCTTGCTATGTTGCCCAGGCTGGTCTCAAATTCTTGGCCTCAAGTGATCCTCCCACCTCAACCTCCTGACATTCTGGGATCATAGGCCTGAGCCACTGCACATGGCCTTATGCCACTTTCTTTGCCAGTGACTGGAATTCATTTGTATTCTGGTCAGTCTGAGGTGTACCTGCCCTTGGACGCCCAGTACTGGTCCTTCCCGGCCTACATCTCTGCTGTCTTCTGGATCAGGGGTCCTGACATCCCTGCAGACTCATAGAGTCGGCCTCCCAGGTAAACTTCACTGCAGCATTGCTGATTGCAGCCTGAGAGGCTCAGAGGCTTGGACCAGGCAAGTTAGTGGCTTCTCTGAGCCTCAAAGTCCTCATCTGCATAGTCAACAGAGACAATAACATCCACCTTACAAGAAAGCAGAAAACAAACGGGAAAAACCGCTGGTCCGCCCCTCGTCATGTGCCAGGGCCAGGCAGTCAGCTGAGGCCACGGGAAGGAGAGCCCCACACCCAGGAAACACCCCAAGTAGTGAAGGAGCCATCTGAGAACACAAAACTGATCAGTGATGTGCAAAGGTTTAGCAACTACAGAGCTGGATAAAATGGGGCAGGCAGGAGCTTCATGTCACCCAGTGATCAAAACCCTCAACCAACTAACGAGCGCAACATTCCCACCATCCCCCCATCAGAATCCTGCTCGTTCTGCCCACAGCTCAGCTCACCTGCAACTTTTCTTTTTTTTTTTTTTTTTTTTTGAGATGGAGTTTCACTCTTGTCACCCAGGCTGGAGTGCAGTGGCGCAATCTTAGCTCACTACAACCTCCGCCTCCCAGGTTTAAGCAATTCTCCTGCCTCAGCCTCCCCAGTAGCTAGGATTACAGGCGCCTGCCACCACACCCAGCTAATTTTGTACTTTTTGTAGAGACAGGGTTTCACCATGTTGGCCAGGATGGTATGGAACTCCTGACCTCAGGTGATCCACCTGCCTTGGCCTTCCAAAGTGTTGGGATTACAGATGAGACACTGTGCCCAGCCTGCAACTTGTCTTTTTAAAATGTTCTTGGGCTGGGCGCGGTGGCTCACACCTGTAATCCTAGCACTTTGGGAGGCCGAGGTGGGTGGATCACCTGAGGTCAGGAGTTCAAGACCAGCCTGGCCATCATGGTGAAACCTCATCTTTAAAAAAAAAAAAAATTGTGAATTAAAAATAAAAATGTTCTTAACTGAGGTAAAATTCACATGACATCAAATTCACCATTTTAACTTATTCAGCGGTTTTCAGTGTATTGATAAGGCTGTGCAACCATCAATACTATCTAACTCCCCAGTCCCTCCTCATCTGCCTCTGCCTCTGCAGATTGGCCTCCTTGGGACATGTCACATAAGTGGAATCACACACTATGGACATGCAACTTCTTTCCATGAGTCTCCCCCTAAAGATTCTAAGCACAAGAGAATTCTCCAGCCCCAGGTGCCGATGGCGCTGAGGTAGGGCCCCTGTCCTGGAGCAGGCAGGTCATGTTGGGCCTCCATGCCCCAGCAGGAACTCTCCAATTCAGCCTCGCCCTCGAGGAGACCAAGCAGCCCCTCGACAGCAAGCTGACTGTACTGGGCCTTCCTCCCTGGAAGGAAAGGCGATTTGCCTTGACAGGAAGACACATTGCAGGCATAGGCCTTCTCCCTGCCTATAGGGTTGAAGCCTACAGAGTATGTGAGTTGACCACAGTCCAGCAAAGGTGGCACGGGAGTGGGCCCATGACAGTGGCCTCCACTGGTCACGGCACATGCCACCTCGCCCAAGAGCTGCCAGCCAGGACACAGAGAGCCAAATGAATACACAATTGAGGTGCCAGCTCAGGGATGGCACACCCTGAGCTGCAAGGAAGGGGTGTTGTCCTCCAGGATAAGATGGACACTTAGGCCTAAGTCCCCACCAGGAACCAAAGGATGAAGCAAAGTGGGCTACGGGCCCCACCACGCCCAGTGAGCCACGTGGGGAGTCTATGTGCCCCCTCCCTGCAGCTCTAGGACTGGCAATTTAGAACGTCCCCACAGCAGAAAGCCAAGATTGTACGGTGGGTGCTACCTGGCCCCCCCGGGCTAACCCAGGCCCATGAGAGCAGTGGCGATAAGAGGGGGTGGGAGGAAGAGGGGCAGGGGCTGGGGGTGTCATCACACCCGGGGCACGGGCAGGAGCATGCAACTGAGCCCTGAACCCATGACGACCTGGAGCTGAGCGGCACAAGGATGTGAGGTGCCCAGATGGCAGCCTACGAAAGAAGTCCCTGGTCCTAGTCACTAGGCCGGGTATGGGAGGTCGGCCTTCACCTCCGCTGAGGTGTCTGAGGGTAGGAGGGGGGAACGCACTTTTCCCAAGACAGACCCTGCTCTCTATAAGGGCAGACCCTGCCCGTTTCCAGGACAGGCCCCACCCCCTCTCTGGGCAGACCAAACCTCTTCCCAGGGTCAACTCTGCCCCGTCCCAGGATGGACAGCACTGTGTCAGTGCTCAGTGCATGCACACAAAGGCCTGGATATGTTCGTCCAAACTGGAAGGTTCATTCCAGCTCCACAGTTCCCTGTAGGGTCCGCTGAGGCTGTCCCAGAGCCTGCCCACCAGCGTGCCTCTCCCTCTGCCCACCCCGGCTTCTTCCACTGTCCCACCTTTCCCTTCCCAGTACTGATCCTGAGAGCACTCTAAACTTCCTCCCTGCTAATCTACATCTCAGGGTCTACTCCTGAAACCAAGAGTGAGGCCAACACATCCCTATTCCAGGCCCAGGAAACACAGAGGTGCAGGTGGAGGGAGGATGCCTTCTCCTCAACAGGGCAGATCCCGACTCTTTCCTCACCTCGAAGCTCTTGATTCTCCTCCAGGCAGCGCTGGAGGGTCTCAGGAGCACCCTGCTCTGAAGGCAGGTGCAACATGGCCTGCTTCCCCAGAGGAGACTCTTCGCCCAGCACGTCCTGATCTGCTGCCGGGCCGCCACTGGGCTGCACCATCTCACACAGCTGGTTCTTCCAGAGGTGTCTGCTCATGCAACAGGGCCAGGGCTGCAAGAAGAAGGTAGCAGGGGAGTCACAGGAGCCCCACATGCTTACCCTGCAGGATGAGCCTACAAGTTCTAGGGCTACATTTTAAACAGAAAAAGGGCAATTCCCCTAGTGCCTCAGAATGTTTCTCCCATTCCAAAGGCGGGAAATGGAAGACTCACCAGAGGTGGGAGAGTCAGGAGAGGACTGTTCGTGGAGGGAGATGTCCTGACCCCTACACACCCCCACGCAGGAGAAGCAGAGGGTACCAGCCCCTCAGCCAGTGTAATAGGCTGAATGGTAGCCCCTGAAAAGATATGCCCATGTTCTAACCCCTGGAACATATAAATGTGATTTTATTTGGGAAAAGGTCTTTGCAGATACAGGATCTCAAGATGAGACCATTCTGGGTGACGGGGGTGGGCCCTAAACCCAACAACAAGTGTCTTTATGAGAGACAGAAGGGAGAAGCCAGCGGGAGACGCACAGGGTAGGGAGCTGTATGGGGACCGAGGCAGAGACTGGACAGAGACAGCCACAAGCCCAGGAATAACTGGGGCCACCAGAACCAGAGAGATGCAAGGGAGGGTCCCCTCTTAGAGCCTTTGAGGGTGCGGGCTTGCTAACCCTTGATTGTGGACTTCTGGTCTCCAGACTGTGAGATGACCACGTCTGCTGCTTTAAACCACCCACAGCAGCCCTGGGAAACTCATACACCTAGTAAGAGGGCTTACCACTCAGAGCCTGACGAGTGTTTCCTGGGATTAGGGGCAAGGGCAGAGGGGACATCTGGTGTGTAACAACACGTGCTGAGTAATCTAACAGTGGGGCTGTCAGCCTGAGACAGTGGGGCGGAGGGACAGGCTGAGTTGCTTGTGTTCTCTGGTGAACTAGAAGCAGACCACACAGGGCAGTGCCAGCCTGGAGCCCTTTGAAACCCTGCCCAGGAAGACTGACTACCGGGAGGTATAGGTACTGACAGAGACGAGGGAAGATGACTTTAACACTAAAGAAGCTCGGCCATTTTCCCGGACATAGCTGATAGCTTCCTCCTCGACGTACATTCCACCCTTGGCTCTCAGAACAGCCCCTTCTCCTGGCTTACTCCCTATCTTGCTGGCTGCTCCTGCCTAGGTACTCTCACTGGGTTCCCACCCTTCATGTTGGGTGCCCCAGGGCACTGACCTAGGGGACAATGTAATTGTGTAACTGTCTTCTCTGTAACTGTGTTCACTCCTGCAGGAGTTCTACCCAGTCTCATGGCTTCAACTCCAATCTTGCTGCTTAATTAGACCTCTTTTCTAAACTCCATATTCATTTATCGAACTCAACATTTCTACTTGGATACCTCGTAGTCCTCTCCAAATGAACCTCTCTAAGACCTAAGAGTCCCCAAAACCCAGATCTACCCAAGGCCTTCTTTGTTATCAGCTGATGGCAAATCCATCCTCCAGTTGTCAAAAGCCCTTTTTAATTCTCTCTCTCTCTCTCACACACACACACACACACACACACACACACGAGCACATCTAATCCATCAGGAAATCCTGTCAAAATGTATCCTCCAACCCATCTGATCACACTAAGCAATTAACATTAACTGTTTAAGGTGTGATAATGATATTGTGGTTGTTTTTCAGAGTCCTGTCTCAGAGAGAGACACACTTAAATGTTTAAAGATGATGTCTGAATTCACTGCCAAATAATCAGAAAACTCCTAGGTATATACCCAAGAGAAATGAAAACACATGTCTCCACACGAATGCCTGTAGCAGCATTACTCATAGTAGCCAGAGTGGAAACAAACGAAATGTCCATCAACTAAGAATAAACAAAATCTAGTACATCCACATGCTATAACATGAACACATCTTGCAAATACTATGCTAAGAAAAATGAACAAGTCACAAAAGATTCAATATTGTATGATTCTATTTATATGAGATGTTCACAATAAGCAAATCCATACACATAAAGTGGATTAATGGTTGCTAGGGAGAGAGCCACTTAGAGCTGGGGGGAAGACAAGATGAGCTAAAGGGTATGGGGTTTCTTTGGGGGATGATGAAAATGTTCAGAAATTAGTGGCGATGGTTGCCCAACTCTGTGAATATACATACTACAAACCATTGAATTGTGCACTTTAAATGGATGAACTGTGTGCCAGGCTAATGACATCTCAAGCTGTTACTGAAAATAACAATGGTGGCCGGGCGTGGTGGTTCACACCTGTAATCCCAGCACTCTGGGAGGTCAAGGCAGGTGGAACACTTGAGGTCAGGAGTCAGAGACCAGCGTGGCCAACATGGCAAAACAAAACCCTGTATTTACTAAAAATACCGAAAAAAATAGCTGGGAGTGGTGGTGCATGCCTGTAATCCCAGCTACTTGGGAGGCTGAGGCAGGATAATCGCCTGAACCTGGGAAATGGAGATTGCAGGGAGCCAAGATCATGCCACAGCACTCCAGCCTGGACGACACAGTGAGACTGGGTCTCAAAAACAAAATAAAACAAAACAAAAAAACAGGCCGGGCACGATGGCTAGCACCTGTAATCCCAGCACTTTGAGAGGCTAAGGCAGGCAGATCACAAGGTCAAAAGATGGAGACCATCCTGGCCAACATGGTGAAACCCTGTCTCTACTAAATATACAACAATTAGCTGGGCGTGGTAGTGCACACCTGTAGTCCCAGCTACTTGGGAGGCTGAGGCAAGGAGAATCGCTTGAATCTTAGAGGCGGAGGTTGCAGTGAGCCGAGATCGCGCCACTGCACTCCAGCCTGGCAACAGAGGGAGACTCCATCTCCAAAAAAAAAAGAAAACAATGGGAGAGGATTGCAAAGGGTATAAATTAAACAAAATTAATCAAAAGTTAATAACTTCAATTGTTAAAATTGGGAACTGGGTACATAAGATTTACTATATTGGGCGTGTGCGGTGGCTCATGCCTGTAATCCCAGCACTCTGAAAGGCTGAGGCAGGCGAATCACCTGAGGTCAAGAGTTCAAGATCAGCCTTGCCAAAATATAGTGAAACCCCATCTCTTCTAAAAATACAAAAATTAGCTGGGCATGGTGGCATGTCTGTAGTCCCAGCTACTTGGGAAGCTGAGGCAGGAGAATCGCTTGAACCCAGGAGGAGGAGGTTACAGTGAGCTGAGATCATGCCATTGCACTCCAGCCTAGGTGACAGCGTGAGACTCCGTATCTCAAAAAAAAAAAAAAAGATTTGCTAATTTTTCTACTTTTGTACATTTTTGAAAATTTCAATAATAAAATGCTCAAAGCACTGTCTCTGAGCTGCACTGCTGCAATTACCTCTTAACAGGTCACACTTTTTTACTCTTGCCCGATATGGTCTGTTCTCCCCACCACTGCTAGAACCATCAGTCTAAGAGGTAATTCCGATCACATTCTTCCTCTACTGAGAACCCTACCATGGTTCCCCGTTGCCCTCCGAGTAAAAGCCAACGTCCCCACAACGGCCTACAAGACCCTGTATCATCGGGTTCCTCATCCCCTCCTCTCCAACTGTGCTCCCCTCCCTCACTCTGCTCCAGCTATAGTGACCTCCGGGCTGTTCCTGTATTGTGCCAGGACATTCCATTCATTCTCAGATAATAGAAACAGTATGAGGACGGGCAGATGTTGTTTTGCAAAATGAGCAAACAGGCACATGAGATAAGACATCTAGCTGCCAAACTATATTTGAGGCATTTTCAAAGAATTTAACCACCTTAACTGAGTGCAGTCAAGTTTGGTGAACAGAAAATATGTCTGAACCAGAAGAGTCCCCGCACTAAGAGTATGGTCAGACCCTGCAGTGGAGGAGGAGGGAGGAGCAGAAACAGTCCAGCTCGCCGCCCAAGTAACCCAGGTCCTGAATCGGCCCGCCTCGGCCAATGCTCCACAAGCGCGCGGCAAGAACTGGCTGGGGCCCAAGAAGAGGGGGGAGCCAGAACGTCCGAGAGAGTCTCGGAGGCGGCGGAACGCCCTCTGATGGAACCCTGTCCTTGAGGAAAAGGACACACACACCTGTCAGCAGAGTCCGTTAGACGTGAGAAGGGTGGGAGCTGCAGAATGTGAGCGCTGGTAGGGGCCCGCGCTCCGAGAAATTCTCAGTTCCGCGGTCGCCCTTCCCTTCTCCGCTGTCGAAATCCCTACTTCCGGCTTCCGGTGTCATAGCTGTGGGATCCGGAAGTACAAACACAAGCTCCGCCCCAGGAACACGAGAAGCCGGCGAGAGGTGTGAGGCCGCGGTAGGGCCGTATCCCGGTCCGGAGAGAAGTTTGAGTCCGCCAGGCTCTGCCGGCCCACGAAAGCTCGGTAATGATACGCACGACCACCACTTTGCGGGGCATCACAGCCTACAGGCCCCGTTGTCTCTCGGACAGCGGCGTCTAAACCTCAGGGCGCTCGGCCGCCCCGCCCTCGCCGGGGGAGGAGTCAACAACAGACTGCCCAATAGGGCCGGCTTGACCCACGAACAAGCGAGGGTCCCCGGGGGAGCGGCGCGGCAGAAGTCCCCTCCCAGGAGCCGAGGGACAGCCCAGAGGAGGCGTGGCCACGCTGCCGGCGGAAGTGGAGACCTCCGCGAGCCCTCGGGGCCGCCGGGGCAGGCGGGAAAAACGGACGATGGGGGTGGGGCCGGGCCGGCGATGGGGACGTAGGAGCAGTGCGCGGAGCTGGACCCGCGCCCGCCTAGACATCGGGGATGCGGAGCAGCGGCAGCAGGGACGGCAGGCCGCCAGCAGGCCAGCCTCCAGCGCAGGTGCCCGAGGGGTGGGGCTGGCCCAGAATGCGCGCGCACCTGCCCTCGCCCCGCCCGCACGAGGGGTGGCAGCCAAGGTCCCGCCCCGCGCGCATGGCTTGAGGCGGGTCGGCTCAGCCGAGGCGCCCGCCCCCGCCCCGCCGATTAATTGGGCCGGCGGGGCTCAGCCCCCGGAAACGGCCGTGTGTACTTCGGGGCTGCGAGCGCGGAGGGCGGCGGCGCCTAAGCTCAGGTAACTGGGCGGACGGGCGAGCGCCGCGCTGGCTAAGGGACTTACTGCCCTGCGCTGCGCTGGCAGCGGTAAAATGCACGATGTTTGCTGTGCTTGAGAACCGAGCAGAAAGATCCCTTTATACCCCGTACCTCCTCTCTTGGGCCCCTGAGGACCCTGAAACCCCGAGAGGGAAGGGGACTTGCCGGCCGGGGTCACCCAGCTTGGCAAGGAGGGCAGGAGCTGAACTCCAGCATCTGCACCATCTAACACGCTCCAGGTCATTGTGGCGTTCGCGCTACAGTCGAGAGTGAGGTGGTCCTGGGCATGTAGTTCCATGTGCCACAAGGATTTTACTCGGTTGCCCAGAATTGATGCTCTAGCTGGAATCCACCAGTGCTCTGGGTAATTTTGGAAAGTACACCCTGAATGAAGGTTGCCTGGGAGAGTGTGGCTGGAGCCCAGAACCAGCAGTTTCTAACCCGTCACCCACTCCCCAACGCCCAGCCGTTCACAAGGAGTAGTTTTGGTAATCAAGCTTCACCCCGGTGAGACCCCAGAGGAACTCAAGAAAGGGGCTAACTTCTCAGTGCTCTTCTGTTCTGCCTTGTTAACGAGCCTTTCTTCCACCAGACAGCGTTATGGCAGAGCAGGTGGCCCTTAGCCGGACCCAGGTGTGCGGGATCCTGCGGGAAGAGCTGTTCCAGGGCGACGCCTTCCATCAGTCGGATACACACATATTCATCATCATGGGTGCATCGGTGAGTTTTTCTCAGGACCCAATCCTAAAAGCCAGGAAGTGCCTGCTCCATGCCTAGGCTTTTCTCACTAATTGTTGTAAGGCCGCATAGGCTCTGCTAGATTCAGCTCCTCCTCTTGCTCCTGCTAGCGCCGGGATCATCCTGGCACTACCTGATGTGCATGCACTTGCAAGACTTTTTTTTTTTTTTTTGGAGATGGAGTTTCACTGTGTCTCCCAGGCTGAAGTGCAGTGGCGTGATCTTGGCTCACTGCAACCTCTGCTTCCTGGGTTCAAGCGATTCTCCTGCCTCAGCCCCCCTAGTGGCTGACATTACAGGCATGTACCACCACATCTGCCTAATTTTTGTATTATTAGTAGAGACAGGGTTTCACCATGTTGGCCAGGCTGGTCTCAAACTCCTGATCTCAGGTGAAGTGCTGGGATTACAGGCCTGAGCCACTGCACCCCACCGCAAGACATTTCTGAAACCTGTGGTTTCAAGGTCTCTAGGGACTATCTAATTGGACTTCTTGGGGAAAACAGGGACTGCTGTTCATTCTGTGGTTTTTCCAAACCTGTTCATGCCTTAACAAATGAGTTCCAAAGGCAGGGTCTGAGGCTCAATCTCTGCCCCTTTGCTCTCTAAGACTTCAAGTTCCCTGGAGACAGACACTCAGCCTTTCTTTGAACACTGGCTCTTTGCCTCAATTTGCAAAGCCTACCAAGGAGCTCTGCTTCACCCCACCTGGCCCCAATTGTCCAGCTTGTGGAACCGCCATTTTGTACTCATAGGAAAGACCAAAGAATAGTATAGCATGAGGATTTACATGGGAGGGGAGGGAGGAGAGGAAGGGGCGGTTCTTTTTTTTTCCTTTTTTTTTTTTTTAGACAAAGTTTCGCTGTTGTTACCCAGGCTGGAGTGCAATGGCACGGTCTCGGCTCACCGCAACCTCTGCCTTCCGGGTTCAAGCAATTCTCCTGCCTCAGCCTCCCAAGTAGCTGGGACTACAGGCACGCACCACCATGCCCAGCTAATTTTTGTATTTTTAGTAAAGACAGGGTTTCACCATGTTGACCAGGATGGTCTCGATCTCCTGACCTCGTGATACACCCGCCTTGGCCTCCCAAAGTGCCCGGCCTGGAAGGGGCGGTTCTAATAGAGCCATCACCCAGACTGGAGCACCCTCACCTATGTCACATGGGGCAGTGAGACTGCAGGGGCTGTTGAAACAAGAGCTTCATCTCAAATTATACGTTTCAGTTTTCACTTTTAATCGTGGATGCACTCAATCTGCTCACTACCGTATGACCATTTTTGCCATTCATTTACCTTGTAACCAGGCCGGGCACGGTGGCTCACGCCTGTAATCCCAGCACTGTGGGAGGATCACTTGAGGTCAAGAGTTCAAGACCAGCCTGGTCAACACAGTGAAACCCCATCTCTACTAAAAATACAAAAAATTAACCAGGCGTGGTGGCAAGCACCTGTAATCCCTGCTACTCAGGAGGCTGAGGCAGAGGTTTCGCCATGAGCCAAGATTTCACCATTCCACTCCAGTCTGGGTGACAAGCGCAGAACTCCAGTTCAAAAAAAAAAGTATCTTATAACCTTGAGCAAGAGCTCTCTCAAAACTAATGAGCTCTTCCTCATCACGCGTCCCTGAGTGCTGGATGAGCTTAGTGGTTCTTTGTTCACGTACAACAATGCAGTGTCACACTTTGCAAACCTGCTCCTTGACACCTTTGTACTTCTGATCAGAACTTAGAAAAGGAATGAGGAGGCAGCCGAGGGAGAAGTAAGGAAGGGCCACCCCAAGCACTGTCCTCTGACTCCCCATATGCCTGAGACCCAGGAGAGGTACCCAGGTGGAGCCCACAGTGGATTGGGCTTGCCTTCAGCCCCAGCCTAGTCCTCTCAGAAGAGCCATACCTGGCCAGGCCCTGTGACTCACAGCTGTAGTCCCAACACTTTGGGAGACCAAGGCGGGCAATCACCTGAGGTCAAGAGTTTGAGACTAGCTTAGTCAGCATGGCAAAACCCTGTCTCTACTAAAAATACAAAAATTAGCCAGGCATGGTGGCGCCTGCCTGTAATCCCAGCTACTCAGAAAGGTGAGGCAGGAGAATTGCTTGAACCTGGGAGGCAGAGGTTGCAGTGATCCAGCCTGCGCAACAGAATGAATGAGATTCCATGTCAAAAAAAATTAAAAGAGCCATACCTGCATCAGTCACAAACCTTACCACCTAGGACTCTGACCATTAAGCCCTTAGTGCAAGAAGCAGACTAGAGGAGAAGGTAACTGAGGATGCTTTCTCCTTTCCCTGTCTCCACCCCATGCTGTCACAAGGACACTACAACACAGCAGCCCAGGCCACAATGATGGCTTATGACTCCAGGCCTTCAGCTCTCATTAGACAACCTCACTGAGCATCCAAACTTGTTGTGTGACTTGGAGCAAGTGTTTTCCTTTCTCTGACTGTCAGCATTTCATGTAGCAAATGACAGCTTTTGAAACAAGTGCCCAGGGTCCTTAGGGTTTTCCAAGCTGATTGTGTCATTTCACTTTCTTCACTTGTGGCCAGCTTGGTATTGGGCAACTTTGTTTCATTGAAATCAGTAGGGTTCCCCTTTGCTCTCCTCTGCTCTGACAGTGCCAGCTCCAGCACTGTGGGTAGAGGACAAGGGGTCCTCTCTCTGAAGGGCCTTGTGGTTGGTTTCTTCCTCTTCCTGCTGCGGGTGGGGGTGGCGTGCTCAGGCAGCACCTGGAGCAGCTCCCACTCCCAGGCTCCTTCCGTGCCCGATGCCTCACTCGATGCACTTGGGGGCACCCAATCCTAGAATCTGTTGCTCCAGGAAAATAGCCCATTTTCCATTCATTTAGAAGAGAGTGATCGGGCACTTCTGGGCCACAGTAGCCAGTCCCTGCCCTCCTCATGGGACCTATGTGCTGTGGTGGCCAGGGAACCACAGCAAGTAAGCAGAAGATACATGTGGGCCCTGTGTTCCCAGCCCCCCAGAGCGCATAGATCCCACAAGGAGGGCCTGGAGAGCAAGCCTGCCGGGGCAGGCTGAGGAGCACCCACACAAAAGGAAGAGCAAATGCCTGAAGCCCTGAGTTGGGAACTAGCTTGGCGTGACCTAGAAACTGCAAGCAGGCAAGTGGCTGGCAGACCCACAGCCAGGGAAGCGGGACACCCTGGGGCAGGCTGTACCCACGTGGCCTTCATCTGTCCCTTCCTCCTCCTGGCCAGCTTACGCAACACTTGCGCACACACCCAGCTTCCTTCCTGGGGGCCCTGATGACGGCTCAGAGTTACCAAGTGGGCCACTTCCCACCTTCTCAGGACTCCCACCCCTACCAGGGAGTGAGGGGAAGAGACTGGGACTGAGAGTCTACGGGTTCCTCACCTGTCTGGGCCTCAGATTCCCCACCTGGATCACAAGGGCCATGGGCTTGCTGGGCGTTCAGCGGCCCCCACCCCTCCCTTTCCTCGGAACATTTCTGGGCTGACTTCTCCGTTGGTCCGATAAGATTCTTGCTGTGTCATGATGATGTTGGCACTCTCCCAAAGACCCGGTGACTCATGAGCCCCTGGGTTTAGGAGGGAGGCCCTTTCGTTGGTTTTTCAACTGAGCTAACTCAGCAGCCCCCAGGTTCTCGGGCTCCACCCAGGGAGTCTGGGCAGGTCCTTGACCCTAGCGACCCTTGGGGATGGGGTGGCCTACCCCTGCTGGCTCTCCAGCAGGCATCGCCCTCTACCATGAAACCCTCACGCCAAGACGAGCTGTAGCGATTTGGGTTTATAAAACAGGTCGTGGCCTAGGTCCCTTTGCCCTGGCCGAGCCAGACATTGGTGGCTGGAGATCTTAATCGTGTCCTGCTTCTACTAAGTCACCCTGTGTCCTCAAGAAGGTCCCTCCCCTGCTGTGGTCCTCAGGAAAGAGGAGGGCGTGGGGAAAATGAGAAGCTCCCAGCTGCTTCTCACTAAGGATCCCTTGAATTGCCCCCACCCACATGGCAGGAGTAGACTCTTGACTAAGCTGTCAGGTTTTCCCATGTCTTCCTGTACTTGTCCCTCCAGAAAGTCCCACTAGAGCGCTGCAGCCAGCTGGGAGGGCAGGGCTAGCCCTGAGCCCTGAGGAGAGCAGCTCAGTCTGGCTCTGCTCGGCTCAGCTCAGCTTAGCTCCTCGTCACCATGGGAAAGAGCTGCCTGGCCTTCCCCCACCCACGCCATCCTCTGTCTTACCTCGACTCACTTCTCTCAGGTGACTCGGATCCCAGCAGACAGTCGGTTGCAGGGGCTGAGCTGGAACAAGGCGAACAGGTTCAATCTCCAGTTAATCCCAAAGGGAGCAGCAGGAACAAACAGCCTGGAGCGTGGGGCCGCTGTGACTCAGCAGACCAGTCCCCTGCCAACAGTACCTTCCTGTAGTCTGTCCCAATGCCTCCTGATCTACCAGAATTTGGTCATGAGCAAACATGACCTGCTTTGAGTGAGGCTTAGAGGTATTTGCAGGCTGTGGTTATTACCGTTTCATTCAGGGACAAGTTAGTTCCCAGCGAGCTGGCCCTTTCTGTGTGCGGGGACAACCCTGAGTTGATGTGCCATGGCCAGTGTTCCCCTCCCCAGTCTGATGGCAGGGTGCTGTGAGGAGCAGAGTGGAGGAACTCCTACCCCAGGGTGAGGGGTCGTCTGAGGTGGACTTGGAAGGATGCAGAAGCAAGAGGTCCTTGTGGCTTCAGGGAGCAGCAAGTTGGATGCTAGGAGGGCTGCACTGGGCTTCATGTCGGGTAGTGATGGGTGAGAAGGTCTCATGGGTGGTCCAAGACCAGCTGGTGGCAGGGCTGGAACTTTATTTTCAAGACGGTCACTGCAGCATCTGGGGGGCAAAGAGACCATTTATAAAACTTTCATGTGGCAGTTACAGGAGAGCCCCACTCCAGAGTGCTCAAGAGATAAATGGCAGGTGGCTAGGAGCCCCCCGATACCAACACAGGCAACCCTGGTTTGGGAACAGCCCACTGTGGGGATGCTGAGGTCCCAGTGCAGCCTGGAGATGACCCACAGACACTTGTAACTGGGCCGGGAAGAAACTCAGGAGCAGTCTGCCTGCAGCTCCCACCTGAAGCCCTGCACCGAGCTCACCCAAGGAGGGGCAGAAGCAGAGCACACAAGGGATGCACACCATAGCAATTTCCCACCTGGAAGCCCCCGGTGGCTTCCTAACTGCCTGTTTCATGGGGGCATGTGTCCTGGTGGCATGGCCTCCATTCTATAATGGTTCATAGAAACGGACCCATCCATGATTGCAGTGTCTGATCGCTTTGAAGAGCATGTCTTTTGTTTTCATCTGTGTGTGTGAGATGGAGTCTCGCTCTGTCACCCAGGCTGGAGTGCAATGGCGTGGTCTTGGCTCACCACAACCTCTGCCTCCCAGGTTCAAGTGATTCTCCTGCCTCAGCCTCCCGAGTAGCTGGGACTACAGGCATGCACCACCATGCCCAGCTTATTTTTTGTATTTTTAGTAGAAACAGCGTTTTACCAGGTTGGCCAGGATTGTTTTGATCTCTTGACGTCGTGATCCACCTGCCCTGGTCTTCCAAAGTGCTGGGATTACAGGCGTGAGCTACAATGCCTAGACTGTCTATTACTTTTTATCATGTTTTACTGAAATATATGTCACGCCCAGGTGCAGTGGCTCACACCTATAATCCCAGCCCTTTGGGAGGCCAAGGCAGGCAGATCACCTGAAGTCAGGAGTTTGAGACCAGCCTGGCTAACCCATCTGGGGGAAACCCATCTCTACTAAAAATACAATAATTACTCAGGCTCTGTATCAGATGCCTGGAGTCCCAGCTACTCAGGAGGCTAAGGCAGGAGAATTGCTTGAACCCAGGAGGTGGGAGATTACAGTGAGCTAAGATTGCACCAGTGCACTCCAGCCTGGGTAACAGAGCGAGACTCCCTCTCAAAAGAAGTCTATGTCATGAAGAACACAAAATCAGCAGAGCCGCAGAAGCTGCTCCTAGATCAAGAAACAGAATATGCTCTGCACCCAGGGAGGCTGCTCACAGTTGCTGGCCCCCAAAGGGTCATTTCTGACCCACTCCCCAGCCTCCACTCCATTGCTGGTTTTCTCGCTGTCTTTTTGTTGGTGCACATAGCAGTACATAAATCTTACCTTTACAATTGGCTATGCTCCTCATCACAATAAAGGCCATTATCATCTACCCAGAAAGTTCCTGGGTGCCCATTTCCAGCCAGTCTGCCTCCTGCTCCAGGCAACCTCTGGTCTGATTTCTGTCACAATGGGTTGGTTTTGCCTATTCTGGAACTCCATGAGAGGGAGCTTGCAGAGGATTGCACCTCTGATACTGAGATTTCCCAGTGTTTCTGAGTAGTATCGTTGTTTGAATGCATAGTTTGCAGGTTCACATGTTAACTCCAGTGTTGGACTTGTTTCCAGTTTGGGGCTGCTGTGAGCTAAGGCTGTTGTGGCCATTCGTGTCCAAGTCTTTGTGTGGACATTCACTTTCATTTCTCTTGGGTGCTACCTAGGAGTAGAATGGTAGATAGGTGTGTGTTTCTCTTGATCAGAGGCTTCCAGACTGTCGGGGAGTGCCTGGACCATCTCACAGCCCAAACTTACGCCATTTGCATTTTCTTGCCTTACTGCACTTTTCTTGTTCCTGATTGCTTAAAGGAATTATGAGCATTTCCACATTTCCCATAAGTATGGTATTTGTGGTATTTGCAAGGATGATGGTCTGGGGTTGGGTTGGGTTTGGTTGGGTTTGTTTTGTTTTGTTTTGTTTTTAAGACAAAGTCTAGCTTTGTTGTCCAGGCTAGAGTGGTGTGATCTCGGCTCACCGCAACCTCCACCTCCTGGGTTCAGGCGATTCTCCTGCCTCAGCCTCCTGAGTAGCATGATTACAGGCATGTACCACCGGCCCCAGATAATTTTTGTATTTTTAGTAGAATTGGGGTTTCACCATGTTGGCCACGCTACTTTTGAACTCCTGACCTCGAGTGATCTGCCCACCTCGGCCTCCCAAAGTGCTGGCATGACAGGCGTGAGCCACCACACCCAGCCAGGATGGTGTTTAATAGATGCTCTTTATCAGGTTAGGGAAGTTCCCTTCTATTCCTCCTCTGATAAGAGTTTTATCATGAATAGGTAATTTCTGAAACACTTCATCTACATCTGTTGGACTGAGCAAGATTGCTAGATTTAAAATATCAAAACATAGCAATAGGCAGAGATTTCCTAGTTTATTTTCTTTAATCTCTTAATATGGTGAATTTCAGTGATTGATTTTTTTCCGTTATATCAAACCAACTTTTTCTTTACAGAATAAACCCAATTTGCTACCGATGCGTCACTGTTTTGAACTCTGCAGGATTTGGTTTGCTGCTGTTTACTTTGTTTTTTTAAAAGAGACACGGTCTCCCCCTGTCACCCAGGCTGGAGTGCAGTGGTGCAGTAGTGACTCACCAAAACCTTGATTCCTGGGCTCAGCTCCTGGGAGGATCCTGGATCCCTCCCACCTCAGCCTCCCCTCCCACCTCAGCCTCCCGAGTAGCCGGGACCACCAGCACGTACCACATGCCCAGCCTCATGTTTTATTTTTGTAGAGTTGGGTTCTCACTCTGTTGCCCAGGCTCATTTCAAACTCCTGGGTTGGGGCTGGGCATGGTGGCTCTTGCCTATTATCCCAGCACTTCGGGAGTCTGAGGCGGGCAGGTCACTTGAGCCCAAGAGTTCAAGACCAGCCTGGGGAACATGGGAAAACACTGTCTCTACAAAAAGTTAGCTGGATGTGGTGGCATGTACCTGTAATCCCAGAGACTCAGGAGGTGGAGGTGGGAGGATTGCTTAAGCCCAGGAGGCACAGGTTGCAGTGAACTGAGATCATGCCACTGCACTCCAGTCTGGGTGACAGTGAGAACGCATCTCAAAAAAAAAAAAACCTCCTGGGTTCAAGCAGTCCTCCCACCTTGGTCTCACAAAGTGCTGGGATGTGTGAACTGTGGCCAGCCTGCTGATGTTTCCTGTGGGATTTCTGCATCTGCATGTGTGTGTGAATGCGGCTGATGGGTTTTCCTATGTGCCTTTCTCATCGGGTTTCGGTACCAAGGCTCTGCAGGCCCTATAAGGTGGCTTGGGAAGTGTCCCCCTTTCTTCATTCTGCAGGAAGAGTTTGGTTCAGGCTGGGGTTCTCTTTTTCTTGCATTTTGGCTCTCTGTGCCAGGAGGTTCAGGAGGTTGTCTCTGTGGGATCCCTTGCCTTTTTTTTTTTTTTTTTTTTTTTTTTGCATGGAGTCTCGCTCTGTCACCCAGGCTAGACTGTAGTGGTGCGATCTCGGCTCACTGCAACCTCTGCCTCCCAGATTCAAGCGATTCTCCTGCCTCAGCCTCCAGAGTAGCTGGGACTACAGGCACCCGCCACCACACCTGGCTAATTTTTGTACTTTAGTAGAGATGGGGTTTCACCATGGTGACCAGTCTGGTCTTGAACTCCTGACCTTAGGTGACCCGCCTGCCTTGGCCTCCCAAAGTGCTGGGATTATAGGCGTGAGCCACAGCACCCAGCCCCGTTGCTCTAGGTTGTACCATGCCAGAGGGTTGTCTGTTTCTATCAGTCTTTTTCAAACACTACCAGCTTCCAGCTTTGTTCATATTTTCTTTGGGTTAGCTTTTCATTTTATTAATTTGACTTGTCATTATTTCCTTCCTTGTAATTCGGCTTACAGTTCTATCCTTTTTCTCACTCTCACTTCTTTTTTTTTTTTTTAAAGACAGAGTCTCGCTCTTGTCACCCAGGCTGGAGTCCAGTGGTGCAATCTCAGCTCACTGTAACCTTCGCCTCCCGGGTTCAAGCGATTCTCCTGCATCAGCCTCCTGGGCAACTGGGATTACAGGCACCTGCCACCATGCCTGGCTAATGTTTGCATTTTTAGTAGAGACAGGGTTTCACCATGTTGGCCAGGCTGGTCTTGAACTCCTGACCTCAGGTGATCCGCCTGCCTCGGCCCCCCAAAGTGCTGGGATTACAGGCGTGAGCCACCATGCACAGCCCTTTTTGTCACCTCTTAAGCGGAATGCTTAGCTCCTTATTTTTGAGCCAGTCTTTTTGCTAACGTAAGCATTTGAGGTCACATCTCACAAATTTGGCTATGTGGTACTTCCGTCATCCCTCAGTTCTACTGAATTGAATTTTCAGGAGATGCGTTTCTCTGTTCCAGGTCAGGGGGAGGGCGGGCACAGGCTTGAATCTTGGGGCTCCTCTGTGTGTATATCAGGGCAAGACAGATATGCTTGTGGCTGGGTAGTGATCCTGCATAGTGCCCAGATTACCAAGGGTGGAGGATGATGTAGGTCATGTCCCCAGCCACGTCTAACCACACACCTGTTCCCTCTGCCACAGGGTGACCTGGCCAAGAAAAAGATCTACCCCACCATCTGGTAAGCATGTCCCCCCACTGCTCCTGTGACCTCCCACCAGGGACTGGCCTGGCCCTGCCCTGCCCGCCCTGGTTACGGCTGTGCTCTGCCCTCAGGTGGCTGTTCCGGGATGGGCTTCTGCCCGAAAACACCTTCATCGTGGGCTATGCCCGCTCCCGCCTCACAGTGGCTGACATCCGCAAGCAGAGTGAGCCCTTCTTCAAGGTGGGTGGCATCAGGGCATGCCCTCTCCACCAGCCTCGGGTGGCCACCAAGGGACCTCCCCCCATCCCATCCTGGGATGCTCTCTCCCCTCCTGACCCACCTGCTCTCACACTCCCTTGAGACCCCCATTACCAGCCCTCTGTGACCAGGACTCACGGGTCCCATTCTGCTGTTCTCTGCTGCATTTTCTTATGATTTTGGGGAGAGAGCTTTCTCCAATGTACTCCCAGGTCAAAGTGTCCTGAAATCTGGCCTCAGTCTTAAGGCACAAGGTCCCCAGCCTGGGGCAGTGTCTGTGTTGCCTGCCTTGGCCTCCCTCGCTCTGAATGTGCAAAGCTGCTGAGATGGGGCTGATCCCAGCGTGGGACTGGGACACTGCCTTCTGAGGGTGCCCTCCCTGGGCCTCCAGGGAAGACCCCTGGGGCAGAACAGACATGAACTCTAAGAGAGGGGCTGACGTCTGTCTGTCCATCTGTGTCTCCCAGACCACCCCAAAGGAGAAGCTCAAGCTGGAGGACTTCTTCGCCTGCAACTCCTATGTGGCCGGCCAGTATGATGATGCAGCCTCCTACCAGCGCCTCAGTAGCCACATGAATGCCCTCCACCAGGGGTCACAGGCCAACCGCCTCTTCTACCTGGCCTTGCCCCCAACTGTCTACGAGGCTGTCACCAAGAACATCCATGAGTTCTGCATGAGCCAGACGTAAGGCTTGCCCTTGCCCTCCCTTCCCTCCTCCTGGGCTGGGCCAGGCAGTGCTCCCCACCGCTCTAAAGAGCACCCCCCTGCCTGGGATTCCAGCAGCGCATCCATCCCCTGTTGTATCCGTGGCACTGGGGCCATCCCCACCAAGAACGCAAGGTGGCAGCATTGCTCCACAAAACACTCGCTGGCTGCCCACTCTGCTTTTCCGGAGGCCCGGCCAGGCCGCTAGGTGGTAGCCTCGCTCTACGAGTGCAGCACGGCCCACGCTGGGTGGTTTCCCAACCCAGGCAGAGGCTCTAGTCCTCTGGCTGGTTTTGAATGCAGAATGCCATGGGAACATTCTGCAGGGGTCCTTTTCCCATTTTCAAACCAATGAGGAAGCTATGCCCCGGACACCTCTTCCCTCTGCTCCCCCATGAGCCACTAGGCCAGTCCAATCCACTGGGGACCCAACGTGAGGTAGTAGGGGAATGGGCTCCCTGGAGCATGCCAGCAGTGCCACCCTGGCACCCAGGGTGGGAAGGATTCCTGGAGGTGTTGAGCCAGGGGATCGACTGGGAATGTAAGGCAGGGGAGGTAGCCATGGGGATGAGGAGGTTCTGGCCGCTATTCTCCAGGGAGGGTGTTAGGGTGACGCAGCTTGGGGCTCCCAGCAGAGGCTGGAACCGCATCATCGTGGAGAAGCCCTTCGGGAGGGACCTGCAGAGCTCCGACCGGCTGTCCAACCACATCTCCTCCCTATTCCGCGAGGACCAGATCTATCGCATTGACCACTACCTGGGCAAGGAGATGGTGCAGAACCTCATGGTGCTGAGGTGCGGCCGAGCCCTGGCTGGGGGACCAGGGCAGGGGTGGTGCTCAGGAGCCTTGCTTGGCCACTGCCTCCCCAAGGATGAGTTTCTCCAGAACTCGGGCAAGGGTAATCTCTTCCACGTGGCCCCTGCACCGCAGAGGCCTGAAGGCGGTTCCACCACCTTGCCCCTTCCCGCAGATTTGCCAACAGGATCTTTGGTCCCATCTGGAACCGGGATAACATCGCCTGCGTGATCCTCACCTTCAAGGAGCCATTCGGCACTGAGGGCCGCGGGGGCTATTTCGATGAATTTGGGATCATCCGGTGAGAGCCCTTCGCTGCCCCGTCTTGGGGGAGCGCCTCCTCACCCTTCAGTTCCAAACCCGGTGTCTGAACTGTCAGAGGGTGCTGGAAAGGGCGGGACCTCTGCACAGCCAAGCACCCCAGAGTTTCATGGTTCAGTGACAGTGTTACCATGTCCTACCTTGATTTAAGGGGACCAGGAAATGAGTCTTGCAGCTTGTCAGCAGGAAGCCTTGTTTGGGGCCCCCAGGCTCTGGAACCAGGTCAACAGGTGGGGAGCTGAGGTGAACCTGGAAGCTGTGCCCAACCAGAGCTCTGGCATCTTCTTTCCCCAGGGACGTGATGCAGAACCACCTCCTGCAGATGCTGTGTCTGGTGGCCATGGAGAAGCCCGCCTCCACCAACTCTGATGACGTCCGTGATGAGAAGGTTGGGGGTGGGACACCCTGGTCCCTGGGACCATGCTCCGTTGTGGGCCCATCTGTGACACACTGAGCAGGAGCGCACATGCAGAGCAGGTGTCCTCTTTCCCGGAGAAGCCACCAGCTCTAAGCACAGCATGGCCTCCCAGGGGTGACTTGGACTTGGAATAACAAACCCCAGGTTGTCATGTCCCAGGTATGAGAGTCGATATGGGACCAGGTCAGGCCATTGCTTCCCTGGGCCTCAGCTTTTCCATCAGAATAGACTTGAGATGGACCAGAGTTGTCCTAGAGGACCCTCAGGGAGGGTCCTGGAGCTGGGCCTCCAGCACAGTGAGCAGAGCTAAGTAGGGTCCTCCTCTTTCCCTGAGGGCTGCCCGTCAGTGGCCACAGTCACCCCTGCACCGCAGCTCCACACCCACACGGCCTGCTCTCCCCACTCGGCTCTCTCCCAGGTCAAGGTGTTGAAATGTATCTCAGAGGTGCAGGCCAGCAACGTTGTCCTGGGCCAATACGTGGGGAACCCTGATGGAGAGGGCGAGGCCGCCAAAGGATACCTAGACGACCCCACAGTGCCCCGAGGGTCCACCACTGCCACCTTTGCAGCTGTCGTGCTCTATGTGGAGAACGAAAGGTGGGATGGTAGGTGACACCTTCAAGGCCCAGCAAGGTGGAACTGGGCATGGCCTCGGGAGGCCCTTCTCGCTGGGGACAGACTCGCTCGCTGCTTGCCAGCAACAGATGACTTTCATGTTCTCATGGCGCTGGCACAGGAACTCCCACTCACACTCACGCCCTGGTCCCCACCCCAAGAGAGCTGCTGCTGAGGCTGTCCTTTCCCCTACACAGGGGTGCCCTTCATCCTGCGCTGCGGCAAGGCCCTGAATGAGCGCAAGGCCGAGGTGAGGCTGCAGTTCCACGATGTGGCAGGTGACATCTTCCACCAGCAGTGCAAGCGCAACGAGCTGGTGATCCGCGTCCAGCCCAATGAGGCCGTGTACACCAAGATGATGACCAAGAAGCCAGGCATGTTCTTCAACCCCGAGGAGTCGGAGCTGGACCTGACCTATGGCAACAGATACAAGGTGCCCCGGAGGACTGGCCGCGCAGTGGTCGGGGGGCCTGGGCCTGGGGACTCTGCACGGTGGCCAGTGGTGGCGTCAACAGGACACCCTCTCCCTCACAGAACGTGAAGCTCCCTGATGCCTATGAGCGCCTCATCCTGGACGTCTTCTGCGGGAGCCAAATGCACTTTGTGCGCAGGTGAGTCCCAGCTGTCTGCCTCTGCATGCCTGTGGGTGATGGGTGGCCTTTTCCCTCCCTCCCTGTGTGCTGCCAGCCTCCCAAGCCACGCCATGTACCCTCAGTGACGAGCTCCGGGAGGCCTGGCGGATCTTCACCCCACTGCTGCACCAGATCGAGCTGGAGAAGCCCCAGCCCATCCCCTACCTTTATGGCAGGTGAGAAAAGGGTGGGGGCTGGGGACTGAGCCCACCGTCAAGGGTGCAGGGTGAGGGCGAAGCTCCCTCACACCTCTCCTCCACCTGTCACTCCAGCCGAGGCCCCACGGAGGCAGATGAGCTGATGAAGAAAGTGGGTTTCCAGTATGAGGGCACCTACAAGTGGGTGAACCCCCACAAGCTCTGAGCCCTGGGCGCCCCTCCACCCCTGCCAAGGCCACTCTCCTTCCCGCCACCCAACCCCAAGTTGGGAGGCCTCTGGGACCACTGGCCTCAGCTGCACATTCCCATACCCGGGCCCAGCTACATTCCTCAGCGGCCCCCCAGACCATGCCTGAGCCGGCCTCCTCCCCTCACTCCAGCCCGACGGAAGGAAGGAAGGAAAAAGGAGGGCCCTCTCAGCCACTGGGGCTCACTCCTGAGTGGGGTCTGGAGGGGGAGGAAACGGGCAAGCGCCCACGGGAGAGAACCTGCCTGTGGCCTTGCCCACCAGCCTCAGTGCCACTTGACATTCCTCATCACCAGCAACATCTCAAGCCCCCTGGACTTCCCCTGTCCCACTAACTCTGCACTCCGTGGCCACCGCATACCACCTGTATGCGGCCTCCCTGCTACAAGACAAGCAAAGCAGCAGCTGAGACCCTCCTGACCTCAACCCCCCCCCCGCCATTAAATCCGCAAACAGCCCCTCCTGTCCCCTTGTCATTTGCTTCCCACTCCCAAAGTCACCGACGTGCTTCCTCTGTGGCCTTCCCACCTTGGGCTCAATTCTGGTTCTGACCCCATGTCCAGCCGTGACCGTGCCTGGTGTCAGCCACCTCCTGAGTCTCCCTCATGTTGTCATTGTGAGACCAGCTTGAGGTGCAAGGACACAATGATGCACAGCCATGGCCCAGCCACCCCTTCCAGGCAGAAGGGCAGGAGTAACCTAGTGCCACACACTGGGCAGCTCAGCAGAGGACGATTCTTTCTCCCATTTCTGGAGGCCAGAGTGCAAGATCAAGTGCTCCCACCAGAGGCCCAAAGGGAGGGTCCTTCCTGCCCTCAGCCCCTTGGGGATCCAGGCATCCTGGGCTGATGGTCACCTCACTCTACTCTGCCTCTCTCTTCATGGTCTACCCATGGTGTGGCTTCTCGTCCTCTATGTCCTCATAAGGACACCAATCCAGCAACATCCTAACTCAAGTAATGACATCTGCAGACCCCGTTTCCAAATAAGGTCACAACAGGAGATGCATTTGGGGGCCCCTGTTGAGCCGCTACCCTGCCCCAACTGACAGCAGCCCCTGGGGCTTTCCATGTAGCATTTGTCCTGCCAGGGAGGTGGCAAGACCAGACACTATGGTCCCTGCACTTGTGGCCTGGGTTCTAGGAGGTGAGGCCATCAGGGAATAAAATGACCAGGAAACGCTAGGGAGGAGTGTTAACATGCTGCATCCTGTTCAATTCCAAGTTCACCTGGACCCTAGAAGGGGAAGGAAGGAGCTGAATGGGGGCCAAGGACAGGTCACAGGCTCTTATGGGCTCTGTGCTCGTAGGATTGGAGGCCACGCTTTAGCCACAGGGGCAGTGGTTTTGGTCCTCTGTCCTGGTGCCTGTGGCCTCCAGAAGGGGCCATGGCAAGGCTGAGAGCTGGGTTGGGCTGGGGGCTGACAGGGTGTGGCAAGGCTAAGCAGGGTAGACTCCAGGACAGGGCATGACACCAACGTGAGGCTGGGCGCAGTGGCTCACACCTATAATCTCAGCACTTTGGGAGGCCAAGGTGACCAGATCACTTGATGACAGGAGTTTGAGACCAGCCTGGCCAACATGACAAAATCCCATCTCTACAAAAAAAAAAATACAAAATTTAGCTGGGCGTGGTGGTAGGCACCTGTGCTCCCAGCTACTCGGGAGGCTGAGGCAGGAGAATTGCTTGAACCTGGGAGGCGGAGGGTGCAGTGAGCCAAGATGGCGGCATTGCAGTCCAGCCTGGGCAACGAGCAAAATTGTCTTAAAAAAAAAAAACAAACAGCAAGCGACTGAGTAAGTTAATCCCAGGGTCTCTGCCAGCTCCACACAGTCACTTCCTCTGGGTCTCATGAATGTCACACACACAGCTTCCCTCCAACCCTGCAGCGCTAGCTGCAGGGCAGCCACCACAAGGCTTCAATGAACCTGAGTTGGCAGGAACTGAACACGTCTGCACTTATCCCACCCTGCCCACAACCAGAAAGTGGGGTTGCACTCCACCCTGACCAACAAACCCTGTCTCAAAAAACAAAACTAGCCTGGTGCAATGGCTCACACCTGTAATCCCAGCACTTTGGGAGGCCAAGGCAGGCGGATCACGAGCTCAAGAGATGGAGACCCCCATGTGGTGGCGCATGTATGTAGTCCTACTACTCCAGAGGCTGAGGCAGAATTGCTTGAACCTGGGAGGCGGAGGTTGCAGTGAGAGCCGAGATGGCGCCATTGCACTCCAGCCTGGGCAACAGAGCAAGACTCAGTCTCACAAAAAAAAAAAAAAAAAGCAGAGTCATGAAAGGCCAGGTGAGGAGAGTCGACTGTTCCCTCAGTTCTGAATGCCTATCTTATGAGAGGGGCATTTGGATCCAGGTAAGGACATTCAACTCTCACCTCAGCTCTGGCTGCCTGCATGGTGGATTTAAGCCTTTGAGTCCAGGTGTGGTCACCTGAGATCTAGTTGTTTCTACTACAGTAGAAGCCAGAGGTACCCAATGAGGACCATCCACTGGCACCTGAACTCATCGGGCAACTGTCCCTTCAACTCTGAGTGCCTACTCGGGTGGAGGCAGGAGGTCCCAGGTGAGGACAGTAAACAGGCACTCGAGCTGGCATCTGACAATGCAGTGCTGGGTCCACAAGGGTAGAGAATGAGACATCAGGCCAGGGCGTTCCACTGTCACCTCAGCTGCAGGTGCCTACGCTAAGACAGGGACATAAGCCCGAGAAAATACACAACACAAGCTGTACCCTGAGTAAGAAGCCTGTGAGCCCAGATCCACCCTGGCCCATTCCACAGGGTGACTCACATGGCCTCCCTGACCCCTGCCAACCAGTTCAAGATTGTAGCCCTGTTTTCCACCCTTCTCTCTGCATGCAATGCCAAAGAATCAATTTGCTTTTCCTTTTTTTTTTTTGCAACAGAGTGTTATTCCATTTCCCAGGCTGGAGTGCAGTGATGCAATGTCGGTTCACTGCAACCTCTGCCTCCCAGGTTCAAGTGATTCTCCTGCCTCAGCCTCCCAAGTAGCAGGGATTACAGGCACCTGCCACCATGCCCAGCTAATATTTGTAGTTCTAGTAGAGACAGGGTTTCACCATGTTGGCCAGGCTGCTCTCGATCTCTTGACCTCCTGATCCACCTGCCTCAGCTTCCCAAAGTGCTGGCATTACAGGCAGGAGCCACCATGCCCAGCCACAATTTACTCTTAGGTGCATTCTGGTGGGTCTTCAGAGGCCCTGGATCAATGTCTCATCTCTCAAGGGTTCACCCCATGCGGGAGTGGGCAGGGGCTGGAAAGGGCCCTCCTGCCAGACTCCTGACACTCGCAGTGCACTCAGCTTCACTTCCCACCTGAAGGGGTCTTCAGGCTGAGGAGCAGAAAAGGAGAAGAAGGAGAGGCACAAATGGGGCAGGACTTCTTCGATCTTTCTTATTTTCTTTTGTTTTGTTTTGTTTTAAAGACAGGGTTTCATCATGTTGGCCAGGCTGGTCTTGAACTCCTAACCTCAGGTGATCCACCCGCCTCGGCCTCCCAAAGTGCTGCAATTACAGGCGTGAGCCACCGCGCCAGGCCGATCTTATTTTCTAGGCTCACCACCGCCCTTTCCCCATGAGAAGCACCCGGAAGGGATTGTCCTTCCTATACTGCCGGAGAAGCTGAGAAACTCAGTTCTGAGGCACGACCAGACTAGCCCAGGACCACATCCAGACACACAGGGCCAAAGCTGGGGTCCCTGAGAAGGTGTCTGACCTCCTAGAGCTTCACTTCTTGTCCCTGCTAGAACACTTCAAGGAAGCTTTGAGCGAACAAGAAGCATACTGAACTCTGGCTTTCTGTAAGGACAGTGAGAATCTATGGCTGGGCACAGTGGCTCATGCCTGTCATCACAGCACTTTGAGAGGTCGAAGTTGCAGTTTGCTAGAGCCCAGGAGTTGGAGACCAGCAGGGCAACATGGCAAAACCCTTTCTCTACAATAATACAAAAATCACCGGGGCATGTTGGTGCATGCCTGTAGTCCCAGCTATTCAGGAAACTAAGGTGGGAAGATCACTTGAGCCCAGGAGGCAGAGTGAGCCATGAAGTGAGCCATAATCACACCATTGCACTCCAGCCTGGGCCGCACAGCAAAACCCTGTCTCAAATATATATAATTGCAAGGCCAATTTTTCAGCGAAAACTAAGACCCCATGACATAAATTAACCCCCAAGTTGCCTTTTCCCTGAGACCTTTGCCCACCCGAACTTTTCCTTGACAGCTTTATAAAGCGAAGGGGGCAGACCAGGTGCGGTGGCTCACACTGGTAATCCCAGCACTTTGGGAGGCTGAAGTGGGCGGATCACCTGAGGTCAGGAATTTGAGACTAGCCTGACCAACGTGGAGAAACCCTGTCTCTACTAAAAACACAAAAATTAAATGAGCATGGTGGTACTCTTAAGAAAAAAAATAACTGAATCTTAGCACTTTGGGAGGGTGGATGACCTGAAATTGGGAGTTCGAGATCGCCCTGACCAACATGGAGAAACCCCGTCTGTACCAAGAATACAAAATTAGCTGGGCATGGTGGCGCATGCCTGTAATTCCAGCTACTTGGGAGGCTGAGACAGGAGAATCGCTTGAACCCGGGAGATGGAGGTTGCAGTGAGCTGAAATCGTGCCATTTCACTCCAGCCTGGGCAGCAAGAGCGAAACTCCTTCTCAAAAAAAAAACAAACCAAAAAAAGCGATAGAAATCAAACCTTTTTTTTCTTTTTTTTTTTTAACACCCCATTGCTCCCTCGTAACAGAAATCAATTCTTGAGGCCCCCAACTTGCTGCCCCATTATACTGAAAGTTAACCCAGAATTGCCAATGAGCCAGGATTCAAATTCCCCAGGGTTGACCACGGAACCTTAAGCCTTTCACTTGGTGTAAGGAGGTCCTGGATGGGTAGTTCCACAACGCAGATGGCTCTGCCAGGCTGGCAGAGCCCAGTACAAACCCTCTCAGGACAGAGTCCTTCCTCCTCCAAGTACTTTTTAAGGCATCAGGGTGAGTACATCATCAGAGATAACCCGGGTGTACCAGTAAGCAACATTGCAAGAGAAAAACAAGCAATAGCAACAGATCCATGCAGTCTTCAGACATCATAAAACAACCGTACTTACCAGGTCTAACGAAATAATAAGTCATGATGGGACAGCTGCAAAGAACAGGAAACTGTACAAAGTGATGTCACCAACTTACTCTGTCTGGTAAAACAAACCCAATAGAATATCTGAAAATTAAAAGCACCAGCATCCAGGCTGGATGTGGTGGCTCATGCCTGTAATCTCAGCACTTTGGAAGGGATCAAGTAGAGAGATTGCTTGAGCCCAAGAGTTTGAGGCCAGCCTGGGCAACAGGGCAAGACCCCATCTCCAAAAAAATAGAAAAATTAGCCAGGTGTAGTGGCGAGCACCTGTAGTCCCATCTCCTC